ATGCAGAAAGGACGAGGATAAGGAAAACTTCAACCCAACCCCCAACACCGGCCCGACGACGCGGCGGGCTGTGCTGATGCCGCACCCGCCAGCAACGGACCCGGCGCTCTCGAGCCTGACCCAGCGCCGAGACGTGGACCTGACGCCGATGCCCGCCGGCACTCGCTCAACGCCACGTGCATCAGGTCGGGCGTGTCCTTCTACAGGAGGAAAATTCCAAAATAGTCACAAACTATCATATGGGGACGATGTTCTGATTTTTGTTGCCATTTTTGATCATTTTTGGAGTATTTGCTTGTTCTCCCAAAAACCGCCTGTAGGGGGACATGCTCGACGCCGACGCGCAGCCCGGCGCACTCCCGCGACGCGCCACCGCGCCCGTCGGCTCTTCGAGAGGGTCTCCCGGCGACGCCCGCGGGTCGCCCGCAGGTCTCCCGGCGACCCCGGGAGGCCGCTGGGGCGGCGGCGGACCTCAGCACAGGGCCTCGATCGCCGCGCTGAGGCCCTCGAGGAGCGAGCTCGGTCGGGGGCCATGGGCCCCGAGGGGACGTCAGGCCCACGGAACAGCACGGGGCGCCGCCTGGGGGGCCCTGGGAGGGGGAGGAGGAGGAGGAGGAGGAGGAGGAGGAGGAGGAGGAGGAGGAGGAGGAGGAGGAGGAGGAGGAGGAGGAGGCGAGGAGGAGGAGGGAGGAGGAGGAGGAGGAGGAGGAGGAGGAGGAGGGGAGTGGGAGGAGGGGAGGAGGGAGGAGGAGGAGGAGGAGGGAGGAGGAGGAGGAGGAGGAGAAGGGGCCTGAAGGCCCTCTTCGAGGTCCCCGGAGGCCCCTCGCCTGACGGGGGGGCACAAAAGGTGGGGCGGGGGCACAGGTGGGGTTGGAGGGAAAGTCGTCCCGAACGGCCCCTGGAAGAGAGAAGCGCGTCAACCGGGAGCATCCTCACCTTGGCCCGTCCCCCAGCCCCACCCTGGGGTAAGCCTCCCCCTACGGACCCCCGAGCCCCCTGGAGTCGCGGGGCCTCTGGACGCCCGCCCCGACGCCTCTCGGCTTGCCGTCGCTCGGACCTCCATTTCCTGTGCATTTGTCGGCTTCGTGCGTGTGTTTGTTTGCTCGATGGTCCAGGATGGTCCTCGATGGTTCTCGCCGAGAAAAAATGCGCACGTCCGAGCGATGCCAAGTCGGGGGCCATGGGAGCCCCTGGCGGGACCAGGGAGCTCACCGCGGGGAAGATCGGAACTCCAGGGTCCCCCGAGGCGCCTGGAAAGCCTTGCTGGGTGAACCAGCAGCAGCTCTGGAGCATCCTGGGAGGCCCCCGAAGGCTCCCAGGAAGCACCTCTTGGAAGCCCCGCGAGGGCACCAGAGGCCCCCACCGTCCTGCGGACCCTGGGAGGCCTCTGAGAGGCCTCGGGAAGCGAGAAGTAAGAGAGGGAGGGTGGGGACCTAGACTTAGATGCTCGTTCTGGAGCACCGATCGCTCCACTCACGCGTCGGTGCTCCGTCAAACGACTGACGACTGGAGTCGAACTTGAGTCGAGCTGCAGCCGAGCTGGCGTCGAACTAGATTCGAAAAAAAACTCGAGCAGGTCCGTCGTCAGGCGCGCCCCAGGAAGGTCCCCTAGACGCACTGACTAGACGGGAGGCACCTAAGACCCCGAGATGCCCAGTCAGCCTCCCCAGTGCCGCGAGCGCGGTCGCGGCGGCAGCGGCGGCGGGGCGCCTTCGCGCTCCAGTGCTGGGCGGGTGTCATCCACCGGTTCGTGCTGGCGGCAAAGCCGCCCCACGTGTAGGCGATCGCCTTCGGCGGCGCACGAAGGAAAGACGGGAGCGATGCGAGAGGAAGGAGGCGGGAGAGCCGTACCTCTCACTCATGATCGGAGCTGATTTGTGCGCGGTGTTCTGCACTGACAACCAATTTCCATCACGGAAAAAGATACTTTGATGAGTGTGCTAGCAATTCTGCGCTGTGGAAGCAGGGCGGGGGGATACCCATATCTATGCAGATCATGGAGTTTGAAGGCGGCCAGGAAAACTGAGCTTATGTGGCCCCGAGAAAACTGATCAAAAGGGGGGCTGAAGCCAAATCCGCTCAAAGTCGGTCTCCCCCGACCCCTTCGGGGATCCATCTGGCTTAATGTTTCACTCCAAATCCGTTTGTGACGGTCCCCCGGGCCGAAAACGGCTCCCGGAGGCTGAAAAAGGCAAAACACCTTCTCGAACCCAGAACCTCGAAAATCGACACCACTTCCTGCTGGCCAGAACCAGCGCTGGGCCCCCTCAGACACCCAGACGACTACAGCATGGAATTCCGATCTGCCACACCGGCCCATCTTGGACGATCCTGCCGATCTACTGATGCGAGGCGGGCATTTGTCGTTAACCACCGCGTGAGAGATCGAGTTCCCAGGACGTCAGCAGGCGGTGGATATGGACATAGTGGGCCCTCCAAAACAACGGTGGGCTCCACGGTGTACACGCTAATCCAACACACGCAGTCGTAGATCAGCGTTTGTCCTTCGCATTCCCCCTCTTCCTCCTCATTGAGTGCTTCTCTTGCCGAGGCGCCGCGCCATAGGCTGGCACATGGCTGTGTTGTTGCTGATGGTGGTGGTGGTCTTGTTGTTGGCGGTGTTGTTGAGGTTGTTGTTGTTGCTGCTACTGTTGTTGCTGTTGCTGGTGGTGCTATTGTTGTTGAATACTCATTTGTTCTACAAAATGATTTGTGTTGGCCGATGGAAGATTGGCAGAGCGCTCCCGCCTCGACACCAGCTTTAATGTTCATGAATACGAAGCTCCCGCGTGAGACTTGGCGTTATTCCAAAAGTGAGTCCTTGAAGGCCGAAATACAACAACAACAACGGCTCCAGGGTGCTGGCGTATTGCCGGCTGTGCGCAGGCCCATCACCCCTTTCAAAAACAAAACGGACTGCACTTCATGGCTAAATCTGGATCATGCGCAGGCACCCCGCGACCACGTCGCATTGGTTTGACAGGGACGGCGGGGGTGCTGGCATATTGCCTGCTGTGCGCAGGCCCACTAGAAATCATGATGGCCACTCCGCCGCGATGGTGCAGGTTTGCGACAAGGATGGTGGAGCCCGACATGTTTCCCGATGTGCGCAAGCGCACCTGGTACACTCTGCGCGTGCCCCGAACGTGGCGCACCTGGCGCTGCTGGAGCATGCGGCACACTTGGCGCACGTGAAGCACATGGCGCATCTGGCGCACCAGGCGTCCCTGGCACGCTTGGGCGGCAGGGGCGCCTGGCGCGCCTGGTGCGCGTGGCGCGCCTGGCACGCGTGGCGCACCTCGCCCCAGAGTCGCGCATAGGGCATGCATTGATTTCCAGTAGCTGCCCATCCAAAGACGACCGCTGAATATGCTGAGACTCGGGTGCTACTTTGATGTGTTCCAATGGTGGGTGAGAGTGAGCCAAGCAGTTTGCGTCTGGGAGAGATGTCTTGCCCCCTCCCCCATACCCCGGTCCCTGGGTTTGGGGTGGAGGTGCGCGAGCGCTCAGAGCGTCCAAGGAAGCCCAAGATGGCCTCAGATAACCCGAGATGGCCACCAAGATGATACAAAAAGGCTCCAAGAAGGCCCGAGATAGCCTCTCACGTACCCCGAAGAGGCCCCGAGACCGCTCAAAGACGGCTCTGGACCCCCCCCGAGAAGACGAAATCCGCCCAGACCCTGAGGCTGCAAGATGCTTCCGGGAACGCCCAAGGGAGCCCCAAAAAGGGCCCAAGGGGGGGCCTAAGAGCCCCGAGAGCGCCCGGAGAGCGCCCGGAGAGCGCTCCAAGAGGGCCCAACAAACGATTTTGAAAGCCGCGACAGGGGGGGCATACATTTGGAACCCCCTCGCTCCTGTGAGCGATAGCCTCCCAGATGGCCCAGAGAGAGCCCCACCTGGACCCCAGGACGTGCCCTGGCATTTGTTGTTCATCCCGAGTCCCTTGGTGGTAGCCCTGGGGCCCAGGGAAGGCCCCTGAAGTCAAGAACGACGAGAGAGCAGAAGCCTGCTGGACCCGCCTCCTCCAGAACCCAATTTCCTCCATGACCCGTTTTTGTTCGTGCTGAGGTCTGAGGAGTAGCGGGCACTCCAGGCAGTAGCAGGCACCAGGGTTAAGAGGCCACATGCGAACCCTACCCCTACCCCCCACGATTTCTGAGGGGGAGGGTGGGGGTCACTTCGCTCGGGAGCTCCAGAACGGGAGCGAACCACACCCTCCCCCTCAGAAATCGTGGGGGTAGGGGTAGGGTTCGCATGTGGCCCCCTAAGGGCGCGACTACAAAAAATATGAAAACGCGTCACTCGGGAACACGCTGAATAGCACGATTATACAGCTGTGTGCGGCCGCGCTGCCACGCCCTCACGGATGCTCTGCACGGCAGTTCTGCCGCGCAGGCGCAGTCATCTGTCAAATCCGCCACCGCGCTTGCAGCGGTTGGTGCACAAATGCGCGCGCGCGCGTGCGGCGAGCCTTCGATCTTCATTGCGGTCGCCTCTTGCGAAATGATAACCGGGGCCCCTTTGACGCGTCGAGCCCAACATGCAGTCACGGTCGTGGGCCGAGTCCCGATGCCTGGTTCTGCCTTCAAAGCGGAAAGAGCAGTGCCAAGATCAGAGGTCCAGTCAGGAATGTAAACGACGCCTACCCCGCCCCCATCGCCAACTGCCCCCACGTCCCCGACCCCCCCCCAGTTAAGCGCCCACCCGAGCGCAATGGCGGATTGGCGCGGCGGCGCCACTGGATAACGCCGTGTGCAGCATCGCCTCTCAGTGAATGGCAACACCAGCAGCACCATCGCTGTCATGCTCGTCTCCGACGTCATCGTCGCCATCGCCAGCACCATGGTCGTCGTCAACGCCTTCTCATTCTGCGTTTTACCATTGGGCGGAAGGGAGGGGAAGGGGGCGGGGGGGTCTGGCTCCGGACCTCTGCTCAGTGCGATTGTCTTCAGCAGCGCGTCCTCTGGGGGAGACTCCACCTGCTCGAAACAGGCGCCAAAAAAAGCCAGGATCTATTCCAGGGGGAGAGGAGGCGTGAGGGAGGGTGCGAGAGCCCGCGCCGATCGGCAAAAGATCAATAATACTCTGCGTCTGGCCCTCCTTCGTCGTTTCCTCCTCTTACTCCTCCTCCTCCTCCTCCTCCTCCTCCTCCTCCTCCTCCTCCTCCCCTCCTCCTCCTCCTCCTCCTCCTCCTCCTCCTCCTCCTCCTCTCCTCCCTCCTCCTCCTCCTCCTCCTCCTCCTCCCTCCTCTCCTCCTCCTCCTCCCCCCCCTTGCTCCCCTCCTCTTGCTCCTCCTCTACCTCCTCCTGCTCCTCCTGCTCCTCCTCACTCTCGTTTTCATCTTCGTCGTCTTCAGGGTCGGCGGCACCGGCCGTAAGGCCTTCGCAATCAATAATACTCTGCGTCTGGCCCTCCTTCATCGTTTCACGGTGCTCCAAATTACCCTGACCCCTGAATTGCAAACAGCGTTGGTGGCCACAGGGTCAGCCTTCGGAGAAGGGAAGCTCTCGAAGCAACAGTACAACCGACGACCGCCGCGCCTGATCCCAACCGCCCGTGAAGTGGAAGCCGCCGTAGTCGTGGTTCCTTTGAGAGGCGCTGGCGCCAGAGCCGCCCAAAGGGGCGGAGTGGAGGCGTGGACAAGGATCTGGCCTCTCGAGTGCTTCTTATGTTCGCATTCGAACAGGGGTCAGACATCTAGTGGTCATGATCAGCGAAGGGCAAGATGGAGAAAAAAAAGAACGAATACTGACCCTGGCAAAGAATGTCTAACGGCACCCAACAAAAAAGAAGAGCCTGTTTTTGTTAACAGAAACTGCCCCGAACCTAGGAACATCCAGGAAATTGAACGTGCCTTCTCCTGACCCCCACGAGACTGACCCCGATTGGCAGGCGAAGGACTCCTATCCATGCAGAAGTACGCATCAGCGGATGTGGCATTGCACCGGCCTTGCAGACGTGCTGCAGCGGATTTCTGCGCGGATTTCTGCGTGGATGTTTGCCCGAAGCGGCGAGCGAAAAACGAAGTGGATTTCGCGGGGACTAGTTTTGGTGTTCATTCCTGGCCAAAACAAATCCGCACAGAAAACTCACCTCGAAATCTGGAACGCACTTCTCCAGGACACTCCGGGCCCACCCGATCGTTGTCCGCAAAGTCCGCTCGGCGATGCTGGCGCCACGAAATGGGGCGGCGGACCCGAACCTAGGAACATCCAGGAAATAGAACTTACTCCAGATTTCGTAATAAAAGGGAGGGGGTCTGGACCCTCCAAGACAAGCCATTTCAGACCTCCCCCGTGGGAGAACCCTCCAAAACATCGTCCCCAGACCCCCCAGGCCCTCCAAGATAGCCTGGAGGACCCCCCCCCCGAAATGAGACCCCCCTCCCTTTATTACGAAATCTGGAGTACCCTCTCCTGACCCCCGCGAGACCGACCCCGATTGGCAGGCGCGAAGGACTCCGATCGGCGGCGCGCAAAAGGAAGGGGAGGGGGAGGGAGGGGGGAGGGCTTCTTGGACGCAGGGGTGCTTCTAAGCAGCCCTCCCCCCTCCCCCCACCCCCCTCTGCGCGTGGCTGAGCATCTGAACGGGCCCTGGGACACACAAGAAAATAGATACACACACGCACACACAACTAAAAGGATTCCCCGTATTTTTCCCATCTTTTCTGGGTCATTGTCTCCCCCCCCACTTCCCATACTTTCCCACATTTTCCTGGGAGTCGACGATGAATTGTGTCTGTGTGTTCTTTCCCCTCAGACATGGCCCCGTCAGCAGTGAACCAGGTACTCGACAGATACGGCCTTGACGTATACCCGAATGCAGGAGCCAGACCTCTCCCCGCACTACCGGGCATCCCCGCCTCATCTTCAGAAGACGCAGCACGCCCCAACAAAGAGGAGGTGCTGCGACGTGCGGCCGCCTGGGACGAGGCAGAGCGCAGCTACTACGACCGCCTCCACACTGCACTGCCGCCACCGCCCAAGGATAGGCAGCAACGCCTCGCCCGGGACCCCGACGCCACGGCTTCCGCCCAGCCACCCACAGGGCGCGCGTCCAGCAGCGGGGCCCAGCAGCACACCGCCCACCGAGCGGGCGTGCGTCCCGACCACACCCCCAGCCAGGCCCAGTCACCACGACCCAGTAAGGAAAGGCGCCTGACACCCTGCCCGACACCCTGCCCGCCCAATCACGGTGGCGATCCACTTCCCCCCCATTCACTCCCGCCCACTCCGCGTGGCGACGAGCCGGCCCCAGCCCAGCCTGCCAGAAGACCTACAGCTACCAAGTCCGTCGGGGCGCCACTGGCCGTCGGCGCGGCACCTGAACCCCCCGGAAAGTGTGCGGAACCCGGCAGTCGTGAGCGGCAGCAAGGGCGAGTCCTGGACACGCCCATCACGGGCTCCTTGTGCCCGCTCGCTACGTGGTCATCAGGAGTGATACCCTCCCCCGCGCCAGGTGGTTCAGCACTGCGGACTGCACCGAGCCCCTCTCGACACAGCCCCTGGACGGAGCGGTATTCGGACCCGTCCTCCGTGTCTTGGCCCGCGAACAAGACGGGCGGACTCAGTTCGTCCAGATCGGCAGCGAGTGGCTGGAAGTATGGGGGCACCGGTGACAGGACGCTACGCGTGAACGTCCTCCGCGGAGACGCAGCGCTCCGGGCAGCAGCCTTCATGGACACTACCCACAGCAAGGTGCACGGGACGCAGGCACCAGCAACCCGCGACAGTCCCATGCTCGGCGCCGACATCGGGGGAGACAAAGCGACGTCCCCAGGGGGGACGCAGACCGGACCCAAACTCGAACCCTACCCGCCGCAGGCAGACGCGCAGGATTCCACCATTGAACCTGCACACCTCATGCCACCTAAGGAGGAAGACCCCGATTGGACCAATGACGACCAGGCACAAGAGCAGAAGCTGCGCCTCGCAAAGGCCCTAAGCACAGTCCATGCGGTCTCCTCATCCTCAGACTCCGACACAGTCGAAGAACACCAAGCCAAGACGAGTCCTCGTAACGAGCGACGAAGCAGTCCTGAGTACGACTCAAGCAGTACCGACCAGAGGGCCGCCGACGCACCCACGGAGCCGATCGTGCGTCTGGAGGCCGCGGCCGACGACCGGGAGCTGCACACGCGGAACCGGTCCAAAGGCCCGGAAGACCCACGACCTGCACTCAACCCCCTCCCTGCACACCAACTTGTGCGCTTGCGCAACAGGGCGCGGGAGCCAGTCGCCTGGGAGTCGTACGCGACGGCAGTGAGGCGCGAGTCCAGAGAGGCTGCCGACCGGACCCGCACAGGGGAGCACGACCGCGACCGCGACCGCGACCGCGACCAGGGCGCAGCGGGGGCACCGTGGCGCAAGCACGACGCCAAGGACTGGGACAGAACCAGGGAGCGTTACTGGGACCAGGACCACGACAGTGGCAGGGGCACAGGGAGCACCCCCTGGCGCCAGCCAGAATCGCGCAGCTCTTACCACAGGGACGATCGACGCCACCCCGACACCAGCCGGACGCGGGCAATCTTCCGCGTTGGCTGGCAGCGCCGCCCACACGAGACAGCAGTCACACACCTTAAGAGGCTACAGGCGGAAGGGGGATACCACTTCAACGCAGCATGGCATTCGTGGTGCAGGCACATGTGCAAGGAGCAAGGCAAAGGCAAATCCAAAGACCAGGTCCCTTTCGACCCGAGCCGCTGGCAGCATTGGATCATTGACAAGTTCCTGGGTGACATGAACACCAGCAACCATCACGTGGAGGCGTGGTCCCGCAGCGTAGGCGTCTACGTGGACTGGGATCGGGAGCAGAGGCTGTACCAGGACGTACAGAAGAAAAGAGAGGTCGCCAAGGGTGACGGGCGCGGAGAGGATCAGGCGCGCAGCTCCAGGTACCACGACACCTGGACTGGAAAGCGCCCGCGGCGCTGACCAGCCGGCGACCTGACCCCCTCGCCCTATGGCAGCACGACGCAATCGTCTCCGCACTCCCACCACCTGTGCCCCCGTCCCCCACCCCCCACCCTTTTTTCACCTGACATGGGGTACCCCGTTGCCCTCGCGGCGTGCACGCCCCACGGGCTACAACTGCTTGCCGGTCCACCTGGGCTCCGTCTTTTCCGTTTCCTCCCCCCCCTTTTCCTGTCTTTACATGATCTGGGACCGTGTGTCCCACCTGTACCCATCGGGGGCCGTTCCCCCTGTGAGCACCTGCGACGCGGACTGACGCGACGACGACTGGCGTGGCGCGCCCTGTCTTCTACATGATCTGGGACCGCGTGTCCTACCTGTACCCATCGGGGCCCAGTCCCCAACGTGAGCGCGCACTGTGCGGGCTGACGCGACTACGGCTGGCGCGGGATGCCGGCCTCTCTCCTCCCCGTTCGCTTCGTCCCCCCCCCCCGCTCGCTTCCCCCCCCCCCATGGCGGCAGCGCCCGGCACTGCGCGGCTTCGGCCAGGTGCCGGGCGCTGAACCTTGCCGCCTCGGCGGCCCCGCTCGCCATGGCGCTGCGCGGCTCAGGCCCGGCCCTCGGCCACGCGGACGTCAGCACATTATGCGTGGCAGCTGCCCGTCTTCACGCGCTGACTGTGCAGGCCAGATATCCTCCTTGCACTCCACCGACATCCTGTCGAACACGGACGGCCCTCGTCTCTGGCCGCACCTCTTGCTGGCTGTTTCCTGGTCGTGGATTGGACTACCACTCCAGGCCGCTTCCGCACCACCCGGTGGCACAACGTTGCACATCGCCTTCGTGGTGCTCTTCTTCCTCCTGGGCCTCCTCCGCACCATCCGGTGGCACAACGTTGCTCATCGCCTTCATGGTGGTCATCCCTCCCTCCTGGACGTCGACTTGGTCATGTGGCACGTCCCCCTCTGCAGTGCTTGAGGCTGGTGTTCACGACGTGCCGTTGACGGCAACACCACATCGCTCACCCTCCGGATCTTCGCCTCTGGCCCCTGTCCGCCGCGTACATTATCCTGTGCAAGCTCTTCGGCACCGCCTGCACCCCGGGCCCCGCCCACTCCGGCCGCCTGAGGCCCCGCCCGCCTGTGCTCTCCCTAATCCCACCAGCCCTTTGGGCGTGAGTGGTTTAGAGAGCCCGCTCTGTTTTCAACCCCCCTTCTTCCCCTTCGGGGAGGGGTTTACCCCTCCCCCTACCCCCTCCCCCTGGGCCTGGAGAGGGCGCCCCGCGGGTCGTTGGAGTGGTCTTTTTCGACTCCTGGGAGGGCTAAAATTCGACACCCCTCACGAGGATTCTGGCCCCGACGGGGGGAGGCAGAAAAGTGCTCGCCTCATCTGTGATCGATCGCCCGACAGATGGCCCCAAGATTCCTCCCAGACCCCTCCCAGAAAAGCCCCACGAGGCCCCAAGAGGCCTCCAAGAGGCCCCCAAGATGCCCCCAAGAGGCCCCCAAGAGGCCCCAAGAGTCTCCCCCGAGGCACCCACGACGCTCCTGGAAGCCCCTGGAGCCGCCAAGAGGCCCCCAAGACGCCCCAAACGGCATCCAAGAGGCTCCCAAGAGGCCCGAAGAGGCTCTCCCAAGGCACCCAAGACGCTCCTAGAAGCCCCTGGGGCCGCCAAGAGGCCCCGAAGACGCCCCAAGAGGCCTCCAAGAGGCTCCCAGAAGACATCTACTATTACTACTACTACTACTACTACTACTACTACTACTACTACTACTACTACTACTACTACTACTACTACTACTACTACTACTACTACTACTACTACTACTACTACTACTACTACTACTACTACTACTACTACTACTACTTACTACTACTACTACTACTACTACTACTACTACTACTACTACTACTACTACTACTACTACTACTACTACTACTACTACTACTACTACTACTACTACTACTACTACTACTACTACTACTACTACTACTACTACTACTACTACTACTACTACTACTACTACTACTACTACTACTACTACTACTACTACTACTACTACTACTACTACTACTACTACTACTACTACTACTACTACTACTACTACTACTACTACTACTACTACTACTACTACTACTACTACTACTACTACTACTACTACTACTACTACTACTACTACTACTACTACTACTACTACTAGCTACTACTACTACTACTACTACTACGAGGGGACCGAACGACTCGCACCAGGACGAGGTGCCCGAACGCCTCACACCACGAGGAGCCCGAACGACTCACACCAGGACGAGGGGCCCGAACGACTCACACCACGAAGAGCCCGAACGACTCACACCAGGAGGAGGGGCCCGAACGACTCACACCAGGACGAGGCGCCCGAACGACTCACACCACGAGGAGCCCGAACGACTCACACCACGACGAGGGCCCCGAACGACTCACACCACGAGGAGCCCGAACGAGTCACACCAGGAGGAGGGGCCCGAACGACTCACACCAGGACGAGGGGCCCGAACAACTCACACCACGAGAAGCCCGAACGACTCACACCAGGACGAAGAGCCCGAACGACTCAAACCACGAAGAGCCCGAACGACTCACACCAGGAAGAAGGGCCCGAACGACTCACACCAGGACGAGAGGCCCGAACGACTCAAACCACGAGGAGCCCGAACGGCTCACACCAGGACGAGGGGCCCGAACGACTCACACCACGAGGAGCCCGAACGACTCACACCAGGAAGAGGGGCCCGAAGGACTCACACAAGGACGATGGGGCCGAACGACTCACCCCACGAGGGGCCCCAACGACTCCCACCAGTCGTCGTCGTCGTCGTCGTCGTCGTCGTCGTCGTCGCCGCCGCCTTCGTCGTCGTCGTCGTCGACGTCGTCGTCGTCGTCGTCGTTGTGGTCGTCGCGGTTGTGGTCGTCGTCGTCGTCGCGGTCGATATCGTCGTCGTCGTCGGGTGCGTCGTCGTTGTTAGGATCATCGCTGTGGTCGTCGTCTCCGCTAAATCCCTCTTGCCTCCCACCGCTTTCTCTCCCTCCTCCTCCGCCTCGTCCTTCTCCCGCTCCCACCACAAGGAGGATGTACAAGGAGGCGGGAGGAAGGAGGAACAGGGGAGATATGCGGGGGCAGGCGGAAACACGCCTGAAAAACACGACTGTCGGCATGCTTCGCAATAGTTGCTGTTTTGAGATGGGCTGGTGGGGATACGCGAAGCGTGAAGAATTTGAGCTGTGCGTAGCCCGCCTAGCTTTTAGCGGAAGAAGTTCGCTCTCGGAAGGGCCCGAGAGATGCCCAAAAATATAGTCAAAAAATAGTCCCCTGACTATTTTTGTTGACAAATTTTGAATATTCCTCCTCGAGGGCGCCCTTGCGCTAGTGAAAACGGCCTAGGATTAAGTCGGGCCTGTCCCCCATACAGGGGGATCTTGGACGAAAAATCAAAGTACTCAAAAAATGCTAAAAGGATGCCCAAAGATGTCAAAAAATGGTCCCCTGACTATTTGTGTTGACTGCTTTTGGAGACTATTTTTGTTGACTAGTTTGATGACTTTTTGGGGATATTTTTGTTGACTATATTTGGACATTCCTCCTGACCATTTTTCCTGACTATTTTTCCTGGATCTTATTCTTGTTGACTGTTTTTGGATAAATGGTCCCCTGACTACTTCTGTTGACTGTTTTTTGGATATTCCTCCTGTAGAGGGCCAGGCCCGACTTAAGCCTAGGGCGAAGGGGGCCTCCGCGGGGCGTGCGCCGGCCACGGCGGCGGGCCCGGCGTCGCCCGGCGGCGCAGAGACCTGCCTCGGGTAGACTTCACTCGGGCCTGTCCCCCTGCAGGCCGATTTTGGACGAGAAATGAAAAATACCCCCAAAAATACCCAAAAAAATACCCCCCAAATACCCCAAAAAGATACCCCAAAAAATACACACAAAAAATACCCCCAAAAAATACCCCCCCTAAAAAATACCCCAAAAAACCTACCCCAAAAACGCTCAAAAATGGGCGCCCGATCATGGAACTTACCCATCGGTCGGAAGAGGTGGGCAGCACCACGGAGCAGGAAGGCGTTCGCAGCAGGTGGGGCCTCCGCCCGCCTCCTGCATGAGGAGACTGCTCTCAACGACCGATGGGCAACTATGCTTAAGTCGGGCCTGTCCCCCTGCAGGCCGACTTTGGATGAAAAATCATACATATCCCCCAAAAGTACCCCAAAGATGTTCCAAAATGGTCAAAAAATAGTCACCTGACTATTTTTCTACAATTTTTGGATATTCCCCCTGTAGAGGGACAGGCCCGACATAATGATAGACCACCCCTTACAGGGGCTCCCAACTTCGCGCTTCGCGCTGCGCGAAGCGCGAAGTGCGACTAACTTCGCGCTCTCGCGCTGCCTCCCAGGGGAGAAGAGGAGGATGAGGAACCCGAGCCGAACCGCGAAACGCAAAGCGCGAATAACTTCGCGCCCTCGAAAGCGCCCTTGCTTTAGTGAAAACGGCCTAGGATTAAGTCGGGCCTGTCCCCCTACAGTGGGATTTTGGATGAAAAATCAAAAATGCTCCAAGAATGCACAAAGGATGCCCAAAAATATAATCAAAAACTGGTCCCCTGACTATTTTTTTACTATTTTTGAATTTCCCTCCTGTAGAGGGACAGGTCCGACTTAAGCCGAAGACCGAAACCGACGGACCTGGACCCGCAAAAAGGACAGCCGCGACGCCCTCTCGCGCACCGAAAACGTCCAGTTCGCCAATCGACGTGTCAGGATAGGAGGTCTATCAACCTCCGAGTCTCGGGAACGGCCAAGAGGGGGGCGCCCAAGAGGGGGGGAGGGCGCGAATCACGGCGGGCGGCATCATGCCCCCCGCCATGACATCCACCCCCTCCTGGTCCTCACCCCCTCTTTCCCGCCCCCGAGCGTCTGCCCTGCAGGGCAGCAACTCGAACAGGACGAGAGCGCCCACGCCAGACATCTCCGCGCAGCGGCCAGTGCAGCCAGAGCACACGCAAGCTTTTTGTTGCGTCGGCGGCCAGGCAGAGCCACTGCGCTGGCGATAGAGCGCCGGTAGGACACACGAAACGCGAATTCAGCCACCCCGCAAGACACGCGCAGGCACACACAGACCCACCCACTGACACATACACTCTTTGGCATCGCGGCCACGCGCGCAGCGGCGCGGCGCAGGAAGTCGGACGAAGAGACACGCGCGGCTGGACCACACGCACTCACCCACACACACACACACACACCACCCACACACACACACACACACACACACGCACTCACCCACACACACACACACACACACACACACACACACACACACACACACACACGCACACTGATTCCTCCTCCGGCGACGGCACGGCACCACCGACGACTGCTCGAGCGACACGCGCCCGAGATAAGAAATCACCACCCCCAGCGTTGCGGATGAGAGCGGGCGGGCGACCACCAGCGGGAGTGCACCGAGGGAGGTGCATCCAGCGTTGAGGGCGCTGCGTCAGAGGAGGGGGGGGGCTGTCACCCACGCGCATGTTTCATCCAGCGGCCGCGTGACGCCACTGCAGCGAAGGGCTGTGGCAGGCCACGCTGAGTAGAACTCCCACCTGGCTGCGGAAGCGGGTGGACAACGCAGGGCTGAACGCGTGCAGAAACACGCGTGGTGGCTGCGCTGGGAAGCCAGACATGTACACACACACACACACACTTCGGAGTCGCGGCCAGGCGCGCGGAGGCGGCATAGGGCAAGCTAAGCGGGGAGCAACGAGCGGTTCGGGCCAGCTCACACAGCTCACACAGCTCTCACACACACACACACACACACACACACACACACACACACACACACACGCATACACACACACGCAGATACACACACACACACACACACACACTTTTTGGCGCCGCGGCCACGCGCGCCGCGGCGCGGCGCAGCTTTAGGTCGAGCGAGCGCGAGACGCTCGCGGGCCGGCCCAGATCACGCGGCGTGGAGTGGAGGCACCAGATCCACCCAGAAGTAAAAGATCAGCGGCATCGCTCGCGAGGGGGGCAGTCGCGAGGGAAGCAACAGGGGAGAGGGGCGAGACGGGAGAAATCCGCGGAAGGGGCACACGCACACACTGGAACTCCAAGGATCGCCCCGAGGAGCTATCTTGGATGCTCATTCCGGGAACCTTCCTGGAGACACTCGCTCCACTCGTGCGTTGAAGCTGCGTCGAACGTCCGCCGATTTGAGTCAACCTTGAGTCGAACCTGAGTCGAGCCTGAGTCGAACTTGAATCGAACTGGAGTCGAACTGGGGTCGAACTAGAGCCGAACAGATCTGTCAGGTGGGCCCCAGGAAGGTCCCCAAAACAGGCGTCGAACCTGAGTCGAGCCCGAGTCGAAACTGAGCCGAACTTGAGTTGAACTTGAGCCGAACTTCAGTCGAACTGGTGTCGACCTGGAGACGAACAGATCCGTTCAGTGGCCCCCAAGAGGGCCCCCCAAACGAGCACCGGAGCTGCCCGCTCCCGTGCCGTGGCCGCGCGCGGGGGCGCTCCCCAGCACTCCGAGCCACTGCTTGCCGTCCAGCCCCGGGCCGGTGTAGATCCGCTCGAACGTGTTGCCTCCGCCGCGGGGGCTGCTGGGAAGGGGAGCAGACCGGAGGCCCGACGAGCCGCCCCCCCAGGAGAAGGAGGCGGAGGAGGAGGAGGAAGAGGAGGAGGAGGAGGAGGCGGAAGATGAGGAGGAGGAGGAGGAGGAGGGAGGATGGTGCTGCTGCTGCTGATCTGATGCTGCTGCTGCTGCTGCTGATGGTGCTGCTGATGGTGATGGTGATGGTGATGGTGATGGTGATGATGGTGATGGTGATGGTGATGGTGATGGTGATGGTGATGGTGATGATGATGATGGTGATGATGATGATGATGGTGATGATGATGATGCTGATGATGATGCTGATGATGATGAGGAGGAGGAGGAGGGGGATGCAGATGCTGATGCTGATGCTGATGCTGATGCTGATGATGATGACGATGACAAGTAATAATTATAATACTAATCATGATAATACTAATAATAGTAATAGTAATAACGATAACAATAATACAACAAAAACATAATAATCAGAATGCTAAAAAAGATAAGAGTACTAGTGATGCTAAAAATAGAAATAATAAGAATGATAATAATACTAAAAAACATACGAATAACAATAATAATAATGGTCATAATAATAATGAGCATAATAATAATAACAACAATGATAATAATAATAATACTAAACAATTATATATATATTATATTATATATATATAAAAAACAAGCAAAAAAAACAAAAACAAAACAAAAAAAAACAAAAAAAAAAAATGAGGATGATGATGACGATGATGCTGATGATGATGCTGATGATGATGATCGCACGCTCATGCCCTCCAGGGACACAGAGAAGGGGGGGCACGGCAGGTTCCTGCCACGACGACGCCGGGCTCTGGCTTCCGAAATCGCGTGAATCGGATTTGGACCAGTCTCTGCTGCCACCGGGGCCCCAGGGGCTGTCGGCCCCATGTTTCGTACGGAGTTCAGCACATGGGTTTTTGTCGTACAAAATGGTGTGCTGGTGGGTGCGGAGCCTCGGACGACGGCACTCGCCTCGCCTTCGGGAGGTCGGGGAGGGAGGGAGGAGGCCGAGGAGGGGAGAGCCAAGCGGCGGCTCGCCCCACTGGTCCCAGGGGTCCACGTGCTGCTCCACGGGCTTCCCGCAGTCGGTGAGGAGGCCGCCCCAGTAGAAGTTGTCCTCGGGGGGAGCGGGCGCCTCCTCCCTCCTCCTCCTCCTCCTCCTCCTCCTCCTCCTCCTCCTCCTCCTCCTCCTCCTCCTCCTCCTCCTCCTTCTCCTTCTCCTTCTCCTCCTCCTCCTCCTCCTTCTCCTCCTCTTCAGCTTCCTCGCCGGGCGCCAGGCGCGGGCCCCGCGCGCGGAGCGGGGCGCGCCCGCCGTCGAGGCAGCGTCTGGCCCCGCAGCCCCCCGCGGCTGCGGCTGCGGCTGCGGCTGCGGCTGCGGCTGCGGCCCCAAACGTTGACCTTTGCCCTCTGCTGCATGCTGGAGGCCTGGAAATTGGCACCAACACCAACACAGGGGGCTGCCTACTCGGGGGAAAGATGATCCTAGATTTCGGTGTTGGTGGTAATATTTCGGCCACCTTGGAAACCAGAATATTACCACCATCACCGAGACCATAATCTTCTTCCCTCGGTGCAGGCACGTCGCCGATCTTGGTGTTGGTGTCAACCTCGAGGCCTGCGAGCATGGCCCCGACGGCGGTGGTGGCGGGCTCTCCCTCTCCACCGCCCGCTCTCGGAGTCGGGCTTCCTCCACGCCCGTCCTGCCGCACGGCACGCGCCCTGTGGTGGCCTCCCGCTGGGCAGTGCGCGGTGGCGCAGCGGTGGCAGACACGGGGGAGGGGCTCTGAAACGACCCTTCACGCGCACCCCCAGCATCCCGACCCCCCATCGCCCTCCTACGCACACGCGTGCGCGTGTGCATACCTATGCCTGCACGAGCGAATGAAATCACATGTGTGCTTCTATCCTCCAACGAGTGTGGGCGTGTGCGCGCGTGTGCGTGAGTCTTGGCGTCAGCCTCGGACGCCGTGCATCCTGCTCTGGTCGACCGCGTGGCCGCCCTACTCGACGACACCTCTTCCGTCGAGCCGACCGCACTACCGCTCTCTGGCACGAGTGGGCCCCATTCGGCCATCGCACGCCGCGGGTCCCTGTTTCCGGTGGCCAGCGGTCCTTTGACCCCCCTGCCTTCTCTGCTCACAAGCTCAGTCTCTTCATCCGCTCCCTCCCGGACAGGGGGTGTCGCGAGTCGTCGGAGCGTCCAAAACGGCCTCGGCGAGGAAGCCAAAATCACTGGTTTTACTAGGGTTTGGGCTCCATTTTGGCCTCCTGAGGGGGGGACTCTAATTACTACCCCCCCCCCCTGTGATCGATCACACCCAAGATGGCCCCAAGAAGCGCCCAGGAGGCCCCAAGAGTGCCCCAAGATGGCCCCAAGAGGTGGCCAGAAGCCCCAAGGGGCCCCTAGGATGCCCCCAGGAGGCCCCCAAGAGACCCCCAAGACCCCCCAAGAGACCCCCCACAGGCACCCAAGATGCTCCAAGAGGCCTCGGCTAGAATGGCAAAACGGCCTCGGCGAGGAAACCAAAATCACTGGTTTTACTAGGGTTTGGGCTCCATTTTGGCCTCCTGAGGGGGACGCTCATTAATGCTCCCCTCTTGTTTGCTCGATCTCCTCCTAGGTGGCCCCAAAAAGCGCCCAGGAGACTCCAAGATGGCCCCAAGATGGCCCCAAGAGGCCCCCAAGAGGCCCCCAGGAGGCCCCCAAGAGACTCCCAAGAGGCCCCAAGAGACCCCCCAGAGGCACCCAAGATGCTCCAAGAGGCCTCGGCGAAAATGCCAAAACGGCCTCGGCGAGGAAGCCAGGACGCTCAGTAATGCTCCCCTCTTGTTTGATCGATCTCCTCCAAGATGGCCCCAAGAAGCGCCCAGGAGGCCCCAAGAGGTCCCAAGATGGCCCCTAGATGGCCCCACCATGCATAGGGCCAATGATGCCTTCCGACTCGCCGCCATCCCGACAAATTATGCGATCGGGTAAATACCTGGTGAGCAGATGGTTGCGCGATCTGGAAATCACTGTGCGCGTTCAGTAAATTGATGGCTTGAGCCAAAGGCTACGGAGGCTGGTGGGGTTACTTTTTTGGTCGCGGCCGCGAGCGAAGAGCGCAGGCGGCGAACAAGGTGTCTGGGCCGACGGGCAAGCCTAATTAGCTACTGGGTGCGACACAAGCCGGCCGGGCCAGCTCACAAGGCGGCAGCTGGGGCAGCGGGACGGGGGATGGCTGGCTGGCTGATCTGGAACACCCAGGGAAGCTCGAGCAACGTGCAGCCCTGAGCAAAATGCCCGGGAATTCCGTATTACGCGCTGCGGCGTCAGACCACACGGGTGGAGGTGCAAGCTGGGACAGGTGGGTGACCTGCACGTGCGATCCTCTCAAACATGGTGGCGGAAAGTGCACGAAGGAGTGGTGTCCATCATGCTGGGTGGGCGTTCAGGCGAGAAGAACGATGGGCGAGTCGCCAGTGGGGCGCCAGGCCCAGGGCCGTCCCAGCGGCGCGCGCGGGCTAGGGGATCTGAGCTGCCGAGGGACGTCGAAAACCTGCCTGATGAGGGGGATGAGTCCAGGGTGCTATTGCGACTGCAGAAGGCTAAACCACTCCGGCGCGACCACAATACCCAAGGGGCCATCGTCCCGTGCCCGAGGGAGGCCCGGACGTCATTGGGCCGGCCCCATCCAACAATGGCACAGAGCCGACGCCAGATGGACTGTAGGAGAAAGCCAGGCTGGCGTGGTGAACATCGCAAGCGAGGCAGGGGGATCCAGGGAGGGCGCAGCGTGAGGCCAAGCAGGTGGGAGGGAAAAACGCCAGCAAAATGGGGCGTCCAGGGTGGAACTGCACGGCAGCTGCCGCCTGATGTACGCCGAAGGCCACCGTGGGACTGCCTTATCCGCCGAATCCGTCATTCCGCGCAGGGAACCAGGGTCTCCATCGAATCCGTCAGTCCACGCGAGCGTCCACGGTCGCAGCTAACCGCTGCTAAAGGCGAGGTAAAGTTACCGCAGTCAGCGGCGGTTCTGGGCAGCGTGGGGACGATCGACTCCGAGACCAGGATTCTAGCCTGGCGGCAGCCCACCCTGGGGGAGACCCGCGGGGAGGGGCGGTGGGGGCAGACATCGCCGACCCTCCACGCGGAGGGGCCCCCAAGAGGTGGACGGGGCCAGAGCCCGGCCCGGGAGGGGCCCGAGGAGAGAGGCCGTGGGGACAGACATCACCGCACACCGTACGGACCCCAGGGGCACCTGGCCGTTCCCCGAGGGGCATCCAGGGTCACAGCTACCCGCCGCTGAGAGGAGGGTAATACCGAACGGTCGATATTTTCGTCCAATACTGGTGTGGTCCAGGATTGGCAGTCTGCAGTCAGTGGACTGGTTCGCTGAGGGCAGTGCTGCCACCTCGAAGGCCGACGCATCCATGGGGGGTGTGTGGTGGGACATCCAGGGTCGCGGCTAGACGCTGCTGAAGTGTCGAGAGGAAGTATCGCGCCCGTAGTCTCAGCTGCTCCCCGCGTGGATCCAGGATCGCGGCAAACCGCCGCTCTGGGTTGAGTGAAGGGGGGCACCCACGGAGGGTGGCAGCAGACGGCTCTTGTCAGACAGCACCGGGATGCAAGAGTACCCTGAGCCCCCGTGGGAGGTGTCGTGCCCGTAGTCTCTGCTACTCCCAACATGGATCCAGGGTCGCGGCTAACCGCCGCTCTGGGTAGAGTGAGGACGGGGCGACCACGGAGGGTGGCGGCAGACGGCCCTTGGCAGACAGCACCGGGATGCACGAGTACCTTGAGCTCCCGCGGGATGTCTCGTGCCCGAAGTCTCTGCAACTCCCCGCATGGACCCAGGGACGCGGCAAACCGCCGCTCTGGGTTGAGTAAAGACGGAGCGTGCACGGGGGGTGGCGGCAGACGGCCCTTGGCCGACAGCGCGGGGATGCAGGAGTACCTTGAGCTCCCGCGGGAGGCCACGTGCCCGTAGTCTCTGCTGCTCCCCGCGTGCATCCAGGGTCGAAGCTAACCGCCGCTGAGAAGAAAATAATACCGAACGGTCGATCTGTCCGTCCACTGCTGGGCCGGTGGGGCTACTTTTTCTGATGTTTTGGATTGGCGGCCCCAAGGAAGAGTCCGAGAAGCGGGGCGGGCGCGACTGGGGCACAGGGCGAGAAAATTGGTTACGACGGCGCCTAGGCCGACGCAACAAATGCACCTGCAAGAGGCAAAATGCCCCCCATTAAGATGCGAGCGACCCGAGAACGGGGACGCAAGCACCAGACTGGAGCAGACGGAGAGAAGTCGCACAGTGGCGCCAGCTCAAACCGCACAGTCCAGAGAGCACAGGCTAGGGCCAAGCAGCCCAGTGGCAGCAGTGGGCACGTGAGGCCGAACCGCTCACCACTACGAGGAGGCGAGGAGCAAGGGACAGGCGGGCAGAAGAGGGGTAGCCGGGTAAGCCTCATTCACTTGGACTCCTGGGCGCGATCAGACATCAGTCACCGACCAATGCACGGAGACGTCGACCCAGTCGCGGAACCCGAACCTTGACTGTCTGACCCGGAGTGTCGGGGGAACAGCAGCAGGCGTGGCCGATTGCCATGGACCAACCCGCAGGAGGGCATGAGTACTGTCAAAGGATGAACCACTTGTGCAGCACCAGGAGCACGATAATGGCTCCCGCCCAGAGGTGGACCACGTCGTCGGCGAACAACGCAGGCAGCTGATCCATCACGGTGGACGGGGGAACCAAGCGGCGAGCGTCAACCGGGGGCCGAGGTGGACCAGAAGGGGGAACGTCGACAGTCGAGCAAAGGGTGTACCACTTGCCGCACCGCACTCCCCCCAAGGCCGGCCCCCGGTGGTGCCGGGGCAGGCAGAGGCCCGAGGTGTCGAAACAACACCTGGCAGCAGCGCGGCCCGACCTCACCTCGGAGCACTGCGAGAGAGCCGCCAGGTGGTACAAAGACCCAAGTGCTCCAAGAGCCTCGGTGGGGGGGAAATCGCGCGTGGCCGAACCCACAGGAGGAGGAGGAGGGGGAGGGGGAGACGCAGCCGATAGCCGCAAAATCCTGCGAATGAAAGGAGGAGGGGGAGGCGACGCCATTGCTGATACAGCGAGACCTTGGCCACTGTGATCACACCGCGCGACGCGGTGGGACCTCGGTCGCGGGGGGGGCAAAGCGCCTGATCACGCTGGGGAACGCTATGTCCCTGCTGCAGGGCAGCATCGTCGCGGGGGGGGCACGTGAGGCGCAGAGCGTCAGAGCCAGGTGGAGCGCGCGGGGTGGGCCTATGGCCACCATCCCCGGACATCCAAAGTAGGTGCCCCAGGGGGGACAAAGTGGGTGTCCCAGTGGTACACGGGGGGTGGGTTATTTCAGCCACCATCCGCCGCTCAGAAGGGTGCCACGGGACCAGCGCGGGCTGTCTAGTGCACAGCGCATGGGTATTAATGAACCTCTGCCCCAAGAGAGGTGGCACGGGGGTATTAAGGCCGAGGCCTGGCGCCGCGGTGAAACCAGCCCCTGCCCGGGTGGGGAACGCCCACGAGGGTAGCTGGACTGTTGGGGACTGACACGTCGCGTTCCTCAGTCCTTCTCCCCTGCATCGCTGTGCGCAGCAAAGGGCCGGTTGAGGACCATGGGGCTGCCGACCCAGCGGGCACCGCGGGCTGCCGACCCAGCGGGCACAGGGTCAACGCGATGGAGACCACCTTGTAGAGGGCGGGGGAGGCAGTTCCCAGTTGCCCCAGGTCGTCATTGCCCAAAAAGCAAGCGTTGCGCTCCATGACAGTCCGAGTGGCAACTCTGAGAATTGACATGGCTGGGTGAAGAAAGGCTTGAGCCGCAGATAAGCTACGCGGAGCATCCTTCACGGGACCCAGGGAAGGACCCGATGAACAGGTGGGGCGAGGCGTGCGGCACGCCCGCGGAGGGACCCTGAGCGGGCGGGCTGGCCCCTCCGACCTGGGGGGGGTTCTTGGGCGTCTGCGTCAAGGCCATGTCGCGATCACTTGGGGCCGAAGTCCCACCCGCGATGACGCTTGTCCGCGTAGTGGGTATCTCCTCTGGGGGAGGACCGCTTCCCCTTGGCCTTCCAGTCTGTGTCGGTCCATGTGTCTCGCTGATGCTCCCACTCGTCCCAGGACTGCCAAGAACGCCAGGGGGCTGCAGATCCAGATGCACCTGTCCGTGTGGCTCTGCCCTCGGAGGCCCACGGGGGGTCATTTGCAACCTCTTGGCCCTCTTCGGTCCACAGGTGTTTGCCTCCGCTTCCGATGGGGGGTTCAACTGCGCGTGCTCTATTGTCGCGCTGCGCGTGCCCGCGTTACTTCTCCATGACGTTTGGCAAGTCGACGTGGAGCTGGTATTCACTGTCCATCTTGTAGGCGTCGTATCCCACTTTGCTCCATGCCTGGAGGAAGTCGTCGCACTGCTGTGGCGTGCTCCGCCAGGGGTCAGACTTGATGTTGACCCAGGAGCCCCCTTGCTTGTGGGCCGCCTTTCTGACCCAGGCGCTCCACACCCCATTGAAAGCACCCCCCAGCATCTTCTGCATTCGCGAGATCTTTTCTGGTGCAGGCTCGTCCCTTGTGACATCTGCGTCGCCGATGGGTCTCAGGTACATGGAAAGGCCACCCATGGGGTCGTCTCGGCGCGCAGGTGGGATTGCTGCTGTCCGTGCGTCGTGCCGCCATCCCTGTGTAGGATGCGTGGCTCCACTCAATCAGGTACCTCACCAGAGCGCGAACGGGGGCTCTCGACCCTTCCCCAGCCAGCCGGTGGGTGGAGTATGTCGGCAGCTGGGAGGCAGGGGGTGGCGGCTGGTCGGGAAAGAAGGAAGGGGTGGTGGCTCCGTCGGCCGAACCGCTTTGTTCGTCGGCAGCGGGGGGCTGTGCTGACTGATCGTTGCCTGGTGGGACCAGCGTGCCAGTGCTTGTGCGCGAGGCCCGGCTGGCTGGGGAAAGGTGCGCCGTCATGTCGTAATTGCACCAGTCCTCGGGAATGTCGGTAGTGGCCTGTCGCACTGCGGGGGTGGCAGGGTATACCTCGTCGGAGTAGCGGTCGAGCAATTGGTCGAGGACGCCCGGGGCGATGTTCCAGGTGTGAACAAGGCGCCTCCTACAGGCCCATGTTGCGTTCCACTTCCGTGTGACCCATAAGAAGGGCATTGCGTCCCACGACGGGAGCCCTGTCTGCTCGTTGCAGTTGGCGTCCGCCTCTGGGCGCCATATGAAGCATCTCTGGGCTGGATGGCCGGGCATCCATTCTAGCAAGGGGGAACCGGGGGGAAGGTGTCGCACGTGGCTGAGTACATGTGGGCGCGGTGCGTTTTTGCACCAAACCTGCCGTCGGTGAGCCTGTGCGGTGGGAGGGTGGCGCCGGCGCTGGCTGGCTGGAACGGACGCGGCGCCCGCATGACGAGGTCACTCAGGGATGAAGGGATCGAGGCCTCGTTAGGCCGTCCGAACCCCAGCGGGAGGCTGGAAAGTGAGGGGAGGGTCCGAGCTCTCTTGCGCGCTCGTTCGTCGCCCATTCTGCGCTTGTACTCCTGTAGACGCTGCTGCATGGCATTCTTGGTACCGCCTTCAGCCTGATTGGGGTCAGGAACGGGGATCCCGACCCAGCAGATCTCACAGAGCCATCTGCAGTTCTTACCCTTCATGTATGCCTGCGCGCGGTTCTGGGCGAGCAGCTCACAGGTGTCGTCATCTTCCCAGGTGCCGGCTGCTCCCTGTAGTCCCGTGCTGGCGCAGCCGTCGCAGTTGTATCTGGCGTCCTTCTGCTGCCTGCAGAACCGCTCGCCCCGCACTGTCGGGGGGGCAAGTGTTGTGCCAGGGGCCGGTGAGGCCGGGAGGTCCTCGTCGAGGCGGCGGTTGGACATGGCGACCCCGCCTCCTATGTACTTCAGGCCCGACATGGTGCGCGGACTGCCTAGCCCTTCCTCTGTTCCCGTCAACGCTTTGTGTTGCTGGCAAATGGAGCAGTCTCCACTGCTTAGCTGGTCTACCTTCGCAGGCTGGACTATCGCTTCCAACACGCGCATGGGGGCCTCCAGGGTGAAGTCGTGCTTCTGCATTCCTGCCCATGTCCGGGGGCAATTGTGCTCCACTGCAATCTGGTGGTGATGAGCGAGGGTGGCCAGCATGCTGATGTGGCGAATGACGTGCTCCATTTTGGCGTGTAGGGAGGCAAAGTCGGCCAGCTTGAAGCCCCAAGTGGCCGCAAACCGGCTGCGAAACTCCTTGTGAGCTTCCTGCCCAGGGAGGCATAGACCCATCGCCGCCTCTATGATGTCACCTGTGGCCTCCGGGCGCGGGAATGGCCAGAGTGTGGCGCGTGGCTCCCGCAGCTGCAGCATCATCACCACAAGTAGGACTCTGAGCGCGGGGGGGGTGAGCGGGCGTCCGTCGTTACCGAGTAGGGCAGGTGCAAGAGCAGAGTCGACAGATTCTGGGCGGAGCAGGGAGTGCAGGTGCTCCATCCCAGGGTGCACCCTGTGGCGTTTGCAGCTGCATATTGCGCGGCTCCAGGCAGCGGGGAGCTGGTGGAGGGTGCTGTCGGGGGTGCACTTGCTTGAGGCCTTGGGGCGGCGGTTGTTGCCAACGACGTGGGGCAGTGGGGGGAGCGAGGTGAGCGCGACAGTCAGGTGCTTGGCGTGCCAAGGTGTGCCCAGCCCCAGGAACCAGACCAGGGCTGCCCACGTGAGGTTGTATACCAGGCTGCTGGCGTCTATCCCGACCTCCACGTCCAGGCAATACCCAAGGTGGCTCCAGGCCTTCCTGTCGAAGCTGCCCGGCTGCCCGGGGGTGGCGCCCATGGACCACTGGTGGGCGTGGAGCCTGGCCACCGTGTAGAGGATGATTGCCCAAGTAGGGTCATCAACAAGCTTCTGCATACCGTCTGCGAGGGCCTCGCCAAGCTTGTCCCAGGAGAACAGGGGGTCGAGTGGCGCAGCTATGCGCTCTGCAAAGTTGTTATCCATGGAGGTCTTGGCCTTCTTGATGGCGTCGTCTAGACCTTTCATGCTGTCGTCCCGGTGTGGGCGGGGGCGGCGAGTATCCATGTGGCGAGGTCCTCGATGGGGTTGAAAGCTACGTCGGTTTGCAGCCTCAGCCTTGAGCCCAGGCTGGTCCCTTGGAAGCGGACCTATAATTTTGCAAACCTCCCGTACTCTGAGAGCTCCCGCAGGCGGGCTCCTGTGGCGGTGCCAAACATCCTTCCGTCCCCGACGATGACCACGTTGGTGGTGGCGCGGGTGATGGCGACGTTCACCCTGTTGGGGTTGTCCATGAAGCCCCAGTCGTGCCAGCTGTTGGACCGAGTGGTCAGGTATATGAATAGATCTGCCTCTCCGCCCTGACTGGAGTCGACGGTGGAGATGGCTAGCTTGCCGCTTGCAAGGTGCTCCTCAGCAATTTGTCGCAGCCCAAGGAAACGCAGGCCGATTCCGGTGAGTGGGGGGCTCCACTGTTCGAACACCCGTTCGTGCTCCTTGCTGCTGCCGCTGCGTTCGGGGGAATGTGCGGGGTGGTCTCTTGTCTTGGCTGGTCCACCCTTGCCTTTTCCTTTGTCCTTGGCCTTGGTCTGTCCGAGGGCGCCGCCGATGCATTGCCCTGTCTGGGGCCACCCGTTTTCCAGGACTGCACATTGTAGCTGGTAGCCTACCACGACACGCACTGTCGCGCCGTTCCCCATGGCGGGCAGGAGCGCCCTAACGATGTCCACTGTCTGCGCGGCCTACGGGAGGTTCGCATACCCAGAGTGAAGGTTGGAAGTGACCTCGAGGGAGGGGTTGTCCACCAGGAGGAATCGGTGTCTTTCCTCTGGACTCTGGGGTTCTGGTGCGAGCTCCCGTAGTAGCTTCTCCAAGTCCTCCAAGGGGGTGGCCGTGGCTTTGGCTAGCGCTTCGAGTCTTTCATTGTCCCAGGGCAATAGCTCTCGCCACGGTAGTCCTTCAACCAGTGGTCTTTGCGTGAATCGGTCGGTGAGCCCCGACCGGATTGAGTTATTGTAGAAGGCAACGTTGGGCCAAGACAGGAGCAGGGGGTGCATGCGGTAACAGAGGCACAGCTGCACCACTGCTGTGCTGTCATCTCCCAGGGCGTGGTGCAGCCGCTCGAAAATGGAGATGCATAGCCCACGGTCGGCCGCCTTTCTGGAGAGGACGGCGGGGGGAAGTTGCTTGGGGTCGCCGACCAGCACCAGGCGTCCGCCGGAGCGGATGACACTGTCAAGCGACATGGCAGCCATTAGTTCATGGGCCTGGCCTGCTTGGTCGATGATTAGCAAGGCTACTGGCGCAGCGTGCTTGAGGGCCTCGGCGGACTCGTGAGTCGCGATGATCGTCTTGGCGCCCCTAAGCAGCTGCGCACGGAAGGCATTGAACTCTTTGGGGGACCCGCCTTGGTGCGACGGGCGGTTGTGCGTTCTGTAGAAGGGCCCCCCTGGGGTGAGAGAGGCCAGTTTCTGTGCCACCCGGAAACCCTTGGCCAGACGGACGCACCTGTTGGGGAAGCGAGTCCTTTCCCCTAGTCTGCCTGCCTCGTGCGCACTCCCGAGGCCGATGGCAGGCTGGTCCGCAGCCGTGTTAGACCCGGCAGTTAACGCAACTGCCTGCCCGTCGGGAAGCGAGTCGGCCCATGCGTCCACGGTAGCGACCGAGAAAATCGTCTTGCCAGTGCCGGGGGGCCATGTACAACTGTCACGTGGTGCTGTCTGGTGGCGGCCAAGGCTCGCGTAGCATCTTCGTGAAGTCGGTGCCGCCTGGCGCCCTCGTCGAGGGTGAGCGCCGGGGGGAGGTCTCTGACCCGCTGGAATACCTGCCCAGTGGAACTGCCCACTTCTTCGTCGGAGAAGGGCGCGTCCAGCGGCACCTCTCTCTGCTGCTGTGGGCAGGCAGCACTACCGTTCGCCACTGCTGGGGGAAGGCCGGGCGCCCGGGCCCTGACGGTGGCCCGTGCCCGCGAGAGGAGTAAGTCGCCGCACCTCCCGGCGTTTCCCACGTCGTTGGCCAGACCCCTGCTGCCCCTGTCGGCGGCGCGGCGGGTGAGGAGGAAAGAAATGACGTCGAGCGGCGTGCCCTCCAGGTCGCCTGGGGCCTGCTGTAGTTTGTAGATTTCGTTGATGGCACTGGAGATCCTCCAATACTGTATCTTAGGGGGTTCGTTGTCCAGCCTGCACCAGCCATCTCCCACCTTGTCGGGCTTGGGGTGCGCACCGTCGGGGTGGAACTCCCCAAATTTCTTCGTGTCGTACCAGGCCAAGGCTTGGTTGGTGGGAAACTTGGATCCTGGCCGCAGTTCCATGGCTTCACAGTCGTGGCGGGGGATGGTGCCTCCGAGTTCTGGGGGCCAAAGAAGTTTGAGCGACGCAACCTGATCCGCCTCTGGGCTGGTGATGCTGAGAAGCACGGCACGCGCTTCCTGTGCACCCTCCAATCCCCTGAACAGGATCTTGAATTCTCTTGGCCATTCCAGGCGCAGCTGCAGCCCCCCCTCCTGGGGGGGAAGGCGTTGCGCAAACTGTATTTGTCAAGGAGAGGGCAGGGCGTCTGCTCGTTGATGGGGGTGACGGACACAGCCAGCGCGCAGCTCTGCCTTCGGACCAAGTCTGTTCTGGCCTTGGCAGAGCCGCCCCATACTGTTTCGGCGGCTGCCATGCACTCAGTCCACGCGAGCCTGTCCAGGGCGAACCCTCTTTGGCGTATATCCTGTTCCCAGTGCCTCGGTAGGCACACCCCGGTGGGGACCTTGCCCAGTGGATTGTGGAGCGGAATTGAGCTCCCGGGCTGTCGGCGGGCATGGCGTAGAGCCTGATGATGGCGTCTGCTGCTGCAGCCGCTGGTGACTCCATGATTGCCTGTCCGTTCAGGGGGGGGAGGTCGTCCGCCCAGTCGCCTCCGTCCTCGCGTGAGGGTCTCGTCCGATCCATAGAGCCCTGAGAGGAGGCCCTGCTGGACGCGTAAGCCCGTCCTTCCCTCTGGATCGATGATGTGGATGGCCATCCGCGTGGAACGGGGGGGGGGGTCCGAGGGCGGTGGTGGAGGCGGTGATACGCCACCCCAGGCTCTGGTCGTGCTCCAAGGCGTCACTCCCCAGCCCCCTTCTGCACTGGCCGGGCGGTCGTAGGTCGGACGAGTGAACGGCGTCCGTGGAGACGGAGAAGTCGAACTGGCCGTTGCGGAAGGGGAAGTTGACTGGGACGTAGTCCCAATCTTCCGGGAAGGTCCACCCTGGCAGATATGACTGTGGGCCTGCCTTCAATGGGCTTGGTAGTTCCCAGCCAGGCCATAGGCGCCTGCCAATGGTGCGTCCGGTCACCTTGTCTACCTCCTCACCCATGGTCCTGGTCCAGAGATTACCTTGGTCAATGTAGTGCCTGGGATCTGGCCAACCTGCCTCCCGCTGCTTCGCTGCATCCTTGGCATGGTCATCTGTCAGGAGGTGCGCCTTGCCTTCACAGTATCTTTGGCACACCTCGCACCACCAGCACCATTCGCGGCTGAAGTGGGCCCATCGGGGCCATGGGCACCCCCTTGCGCGGAAGGGAAATAGGCCGCCTACCTTGCCTGGGCCCTGCTCACAGGGTTCAGTGGGGGAAGGCCATCTGGCCAGCGGCCCGTTGTTGCACTTCTTCTTCGGCATTCCGCAGGAGAGGAAGGGGGGGGAAGAGCAGCCGATAGCCGCAGAAATTGTAAATGTGCGTGGAAGAGGTCGGACTTGAGCCGCGGCGGCAATGACCTTAGTGGTCGCGGGGATCGGTCGATCGGCGATCCGATCGGGGCGGGGCAGAGGGGGGAGAGGAAGGAGGGTGCTCCAGCAGGAGAGCGGCCTCCGCCGCTTCCGCAGAGTCGCATAGGTTGACCTCCCGTTGGTCAATGCCAGGGAAGTGCTCGGGCTGAGAGGGGGCGTCGCTCGCTCCGCAGAGTCGCATAGGTTGACCTCCCGTTGGTCAATGCCAAGGAAGTGCTCGGGCTGAGAGGGGGCGTCGCTCGCCCAGTGCACGTGCGCGGTGACGGCGGCAGCGCCTTCCTTGCGGAGGACATCCGCCCAATAAACCCCGATGGTGGCCAGGCTATCTGCAGCCTTGTTCAGCCTCCTCCTGACCGCTTGCCACGTGAGCACCCAGCCGGCATTTTCAGCCTGCCCTAGGGCGTCCTCCATTTGCCGGGCCAGATGGAGCCTTCGGTATCTGGCGGTGCCAGCGCCATATCGCACCGCAGCGAGGTTGTCGCCGACTACCGGGGCCGTCCGGATTGGGCTCCTGAGGTGGGGGAGCAATGCTAACCCTGCTCGGCAGCCAGCCACCTCTGCCATCTGTGCATTGCCGCGCCCGGGGAGGGCGACGATGGCAATGGCCAGGACTTGGGGGGAGCCAGTGTTGGGATTGTGATGCCACAAGATGGCTCCGGCGCCGGAGACTTTTTCCCCGCCTTCGATGGACCTTGCGCCCCCGTCAAAGGTGATTTCATATGGCCATTGGGTGGAGTCGGAGTCGGGAAAGGGCGAGCTGCGGACAGTGAACTCGTCGCCTGGTCCCAGGTCCACGTTTGCTACCAGGGCGGCGGTGTGGAGCCAACATTCGCGGCAGGAAGATGAGGACCATCTGGCGGAGGGAGAGTCGTCGGTCCTAGGGCAGGGGAACCAACCGTTCCCAGGGGGCATCCAAGCAGCCCGTGTCTGGGGGGCTTGTAAGACGACGATTATGTCACCTAGGTTGTGGTGTCTGGTGACCACCGGGAGTCTGCGGATCTCACCCCCGGCCCTGCGCGCATGTCTCTGTACGCGGGGCCTCGCAGCGCCACAGATCGCTCTTTCGGGGGTGGTGCCAGGGTTGCAAGCGAGGCAGGTGTCGCGCAGGACGGCCCAGACGGCCGTCTCATCTGGGTTACTCCTCCTGGGGTGCTCGCCCCCCCCATGCCCCTCCTCCTCGCTGCCACCTTGCTGGTCTGTGTCGGTGGTCACTATGCCGTGAAAGATGAGTCCGGCAGCTTCGACGGCCTCAAGTGGGGAGGCGGTGAGGTTGACGCAGTATCTGAAGGAAATCTGGTGCAGCACTTTGGCAAGCAAGGGTTGGTGTTCGCCGCTGCTGGCGATCGCTTGTGCGAGGGTTGGTGGGTCGCCTGGGCCACTTATGGTGCACCAGGTTAATGCCGCAGCTGGGCACCAGTGCCAGACGTGCTCCGTAGTCGCTTCGCCGAGCCCACAGAGGGGGCAGCGCCCGTATGGTCCGCTTCTGTCGGGAGGTTGCAGGGGCCCCCGCGTGCTTGCATAGGCCTCGGCTTGATCCCTTAGGGGGGGGGATGTCAGGGGGGAGGGTCTGCCAGAGGGCGGAGGCGCGGGGGCCTGCGCCGATGCATCTATCGCACCAGGCCGCGCCCCCGTCGTCAGGGCCGGCGGTGATCCACACGCTCCTGGCGGGTGCGCCGCATGGGCATCTGCGTGATATTATCTGGTTGTCGCCTCTCCGTCTAGCCTGGCCAAGTAGACCGTTGCTGAGGACCCTGATCACATGGCGCGCTTCGGTGAAGGAGGCGCAGTGGTGTATTAACTGCCATTCCTCCCCTCTGGAGGGATGCCATCTCCTTCCTTGGCTGGCGCCCCGGAGCCACTTTGTGAAGTTTTCGCTGTGCATTTGGGCCCATGCCGCTGTGTAGCAGATCCTGCCGAACTGCTTGCCTTTGAGAAGGTCGGGTTGCCTCTTCACTTGCAGCAGGGCCCGAGCGGCTTTCCGTGTTCGGGGGGAACGACTCGGGCACCTGGGCAGCTTGGGCCCCCCATCTCAGCAATTTGCCCCACCTGATACTTGCTCGCTTTCTGACAGGGATGGGCCCACAGAAATCATTGAGCGCGCGTGCTCTGGCGGCCACCGCGCGGGCCGTCGCGGCCGGGCACCTGGGAGCGCCCTGTACCTGGAAGCGAATGCCCACACCCGTAAGGACGAAGTCAGGGACCCAGGAGGATCCGGCCAGGCCGAGAGCCGTCCTTAGTTGGGCTCGTGGCTCGCGCTCTTGTACTTGGTCGGGAGGCGTAGTGAGCTGCGTAGGGCGCCAGTGAGACCCAGTACGCGTTCCAGGCGGCGGCTGTGCGCGAGGGGGACATATTTGCCAGGTGCAGAGTCATGGCCCTTTCTCGGATTTTTGGGAAGGGCGGTCCCATGTGCATTTGCCTAGAGCGTCTTCCTGCTCTTTAGTGAGCCCCCCGTTCTCTGGGGGCTCGTCGCCCTCCGCGGCGCGGGAGACCACCACAGCTCCCAGGTAGGGCCGCTGGTCTCGCACTGAGGACCCTCCGAAGGGAGTGTGCCCCATGAGGGCTCGCCACCATTCGTGATTGCCAGCTGGAACGAGGGCAGTCTTGAACGCGCAGTTGCAGGGGCGTTGAAAGGGGGAACACCATTTGGGTCGGCACTGCCCTGCGCTACTTACCACGAGTGCTTGGATGAGCTCGCTGGGGAGCCCAGAAATGAGCACGCTGTCACCGTCGTTTTCGTAGTGCACGGGGGCCTCCTCCAGCGCGGCCCTGAGCGCTGTGGAATCCTCGGTGCGCATTCCTCTGCAGCGGTGGGCCTCGACCAGGAGCCCCGCGGCCTTGGCAGCCCACGGGGGGGCCGATGGCCGCACGCAACGCCTGCTTTGTTGTGCTGAGTAGGGCGGCGAGGTCGTCGACATAGGTGGGATCATCGTCCCCCGTGATGGAGGAGATGGCAGAGATACGGGGGCCATACCCCATGCTCGAGAGGAGCGGGGAGGCGGTGCCACCCATTCCAACAGACCTCAGCAGGCGCCGTTCGGGACCTTTGTACTTTCCTTTGCATACTCGTACTCTTCGCTCGGCGACCAGTGAGTTGAGGGCCTGAAGCATCCTCGAAGGGAGCTTCCATCTACGAAGGAGGCTGTCTACCCATTGAA